AGCAGGGAGCCCGATGCGGGACTCGATCCAGGGACTCCAGGATCATGACCTGAGCCGAAGGCAGTCGCTTAACCAACTGAGCCACCCAGGCGCCCATATCATGAGTATTTTTATAAGTGTATTTATTATAAGTATTTACATTACTTTGATACAAGTCCTGTAAGGTAAGGTACTATCATCCTTTCATATGCGGAAACAGAGGTCCACAAACTTGCCTAAAGCCACACAGCTCAAGTGGCATGAGTGGGATTCAAGCCCAAGGTCCCTGGTCACCAAGTTCATGCTCATTCCTTCCAGGTTCAGAACACAGCAGGGAGGCTTTTCTCAGACCAACTGATGATGGTTTCAGGCATTTTCCCCTGTATTGCGGTGGCTGGTTTTACTGTGTTTTCCAGAAGAGCTACAAATAATATCCGTGGCTGGCTCATGTCACTAGTGACCTTATTCTGCAGGGACAGGTTACACGGACCACTAACGCCAGCTCTTTTCCCCCTAAATACCTGAGTATGTGAGGTGTAAGGGAAAAGGGAGAAAGAGTAAAATGTGACTGAATCATTTCAAATATTCACAAAATATCACTGAGGTAGGCATGACCACTGCCTTTCCAAACTGACCTGATGCTCCAAGTGGTACAAAGAGGTCCACGTGACCCCCTTCTTCTTCAGGGGCCACATAGCTTCCTAGTTTCTCCCAGAAGTCTCTCACTTCAGGCCTCAATAAATTTTTAGTACCAATTTTATAACCTGAGGAAGAACTCAAAATGTCATATTAGCTTGTAACATTATCATGAACAGAAACTCGAAGCACTCTGTGAAAATGTAACCATATTTCAAAAAGCCAGTGTCTGCTCGTAAGACTCCCGATCTGGAGGATGCCCCTGCTCCAGCGCTGGGCCATATCAAGGCCACAAAAGGACGCCAACATGGCCACACTCTCCTTCACGTTCTGGATTTATTGGACACTGCGCACCTAGATTTAGGACCTTGTCTCTCTGCCTCCACTGTGCAGCCGTGTGCATTACCAGGCTCACAGCAGGGCTCGGGGTAGATGGCCGGCCAAGTCCTGGGATTTTTGCCACCAAGTTGCACAGTAATAATTCAGTCTTCTGTTCTGAATGACTCCAGAAGGTGGTAACCATCACTGAAACTCTCACTTCCTGGGAATTCTGTATGATGGACACATGAATCTGGCATGTGTCCAGACCCATTTCCAAAGGAGTCCTGGAGACTCTGAATTCTTAACTCCCAGTAAGGAAGTGAAAACAAAGTCAGGCAAGCATCCCAACATTTCACTTCTTTCCATCGAGAAGTCTAGATTCAGAATGGAAGGACCTCTTCAGATGACTGGAGGAAGAGATTTCATTTTGTTGTTGGTTTTAAGGCAAAAGCTCTTGGTGAAACACCAAAATTACATAGAGGGAAAATTTAGTTGTCAGGTATTTTGTTATGTTACTACTGATTTTAAAAAGAATATGACATGGGGCACCTGGGTGGCTCAGTCAGTTAAGCATTCAACTCTTGATTTCCGTTCAGGTCTTGATCTCAGGGTCATGAGATCCAGCCCTGCATCTGGCTCTGTGATGGGCATGAGCCTGCTTAAGATTCTCTCTCTCTCTCTCCCCCCTCTTAAATAAATAAATAAATAAGAAAACAAGGGAAAATGGCAGAGTTTGGAAATCTTTCTCATATGCAGAACAAAAAGTCTGAGATGTTAGAAAACCCTAACAGGTACTTCTACTCTATAAGGGGTAAACCTACTACACTACAGTATAAATTTGTAATCGATACCTCTCCATCATTTAGAGGAAAGCTACCATGTAATTAATCATAAATGTAAAAATGTAAACCCCAACGAGTAGCTATGCTTTACTTTTGGGGGATATATAAAATTAGATGTGGAACACAACTTGTTCCAGGCATAGGCAAACTCAATAAGAAAAGACAAAAAAAAAAAAAAAAAAGGCAAAGATAAATCAAAAGTAGTTTATTTTAGTTGATAAAATTTACCAAAACTATTCCAAGCATGCTGAGTTCTAGCTGTTAACATGCCTTCTTGCTCAACTATAGACCCCAACAGTTAAAACCAGAAATAGACAAGACTGCTTAACTCATGCTTCAACTAAAACCCATTATGTGTATTTCTTATTGTACTTTCTTGAGACATTGATGAGATGTTTTGCAATGACTGGAACATTCCAATCAGGCCAGAAAAGCCCTGATAATAATGGAATGCCTAGAAGACCACACCCCACACCCACATGTCCCCTTCCCTGTCTGTGATCCTGGGCTGAACACATACTGACCCCCCACTCAGGATCACGTGCTCCCTGCCTGCTCCCTGGCACATTCCCCCCTGAACTTGTCTCTATAAAACCCCAGTGTCCATCTTGCAGGTGGAGAGGTCAGTTGGGAAGGCTTAAGCCTGCTAGCTCCCCTGGCTACTGGCACCCAAAATACATTTTTTCCTTTCTTTTTTCCAAACCCTTGTCTCATGAGTGATTGGCTTCTCTTGCCATGAGTTTATCTGAGTTTGTTGGGCAATAGTGTTGACAAACCCAGCCAGGAGCTAAGCTTTCCATTTGTACAGCCCTTTTGGATTCCCCTAGATGGAGCAGTTGGCCCCGGCAGAGCATCAGGCTCCCTGCTCATTTCCTGAGTTAGCAGCTGGGACAGGTCCCCGGGTAACATAGCCACAGAGGTAGTAGTTTGATGGGGGACTCAGGTACCCACTGTGCCATTTAAGGGTTCCCTGCCAGATGGATCCTTGACCATCTTATTCCCTTTCTTCCCTCATCTCACAGAGATGGAAGATTTCATGCTAGTAAATCTTAAAACCGTTCTATTTTAGGTATAACAAGGAAAGATGTAAGTTATAGTATAAAGAAGAA